CCAAATTTTTTATTTGAGCTCACCCATACCATCCCGTCTGGCCCTCATGACCTTCTTATATAGGCACATATCATTTGATTTTAACTATCACTTCCACAAGGACCTTCTAAACCTTTTGGTTGCGCGAATCTTATCCATACACTGTTAAAAATTTTCGTCTGAATTATCCGTATCAAATCCCGAAAATATTTATCATGTTTAATTTCCACTGAAATGTCCGGACATATTATCATTGAAAAAAAAATATTCCAAATATTCCATTGATTTTCTGTTCGCGTGATCTGAAGATCAATAAAATCCTTGATTTTTCAGGGCAATTATTGCGTTAAAATTCTGAAAAATCAGGAAACCTTAGTGAAAAATTAAAAATTCATGTCATTTTGTTTCTAAATATTCATGTTCCATTGCAAAATCAGTCAAATTGTGACATTTCCGTCTCAATACCACTGAAAACTCATAAATTTCCTTGAATTCTACCTATACGGAGAGAAATATTCAGTAAAAATGACGGAACTCACAATTCGCTCACCGATTACGGAATCGACTCAGAAAGTTTACGTGACGGTATCGTAATTTTTCACAGGAGATTCAGATAAAAATTACGGTAGGCTCTGGAAAAATTCCGTGACAGTTCCGTAAAATTTCCTACAACCACATTTCGCTCCGGATTACGGAGAAGATACATAATTTTTATTGAATCTCTCCGTGTAAAACTTGAAATCTCATAACCATTTTTCCCCTAAATCGAATCCAATGTCACTCTCACGAGAATTACCACCACATTTTCCATGAAATTTTTATAAATTTCTAGCAGTCTACGCGATTATTGACAGATGTCCCACTTTGGCTCTGAAAATTTGTTTATGGCAAGAAAATAATTCCTTAAACCAAGTCTGGTTGGATTAATTTATTCAACAATTTTCTTAGCGTCAAATCCAAAATATTTTAATGCAAAACCACAGGACTTGGCTTGAGAATTTGTCTTCTTATTGTGAACCAATTGCTCACATCTTCCAGACAAATGCAAAATCTCTTGACGAAAGTTTTAAAATTGGATTCAATGTTACTTTCACGAGAATTAGTACTGCATTTTCCATGAAATTCCTACCAATTTATGCGATTACCGACAGATGCTCACTTTGGCCCCGAAATCCTGATTTTTTGAGTGATTTCTTAAAATCAAGAATTCATCAGAGTCTACTAGAAACCGTGAAAATCACGAAAAATCAAAAGAAATCGCAATTTTCAATTCTCACACTGATAGAAAGGATTAGTAATTGTTAACTATTAACAAATGTTCATTCGTATACATTCGTAACTATTAACGAATGAACATTTGTTAATAGTTAACAAATGCACATTTGAGGAGCCTTGTTTGACTCGACTTTCACTTTCCAAGTGAACCATTCATTAACTATTACCGAATATTCATTTGGTCGCATTCAACTCTACCAATCGTTAATAGTTAACGAATCTCGTTTGGAATAAATTAATTAGTCTATCAGTGCATTGAAAAATCACAGAAATGAGTGAAGAAATCACAGAAAATCATCCCATTCCGTAAATCACTGAGCCACCCGATTGAGAAGTGACCAGCCCCTCCCAACGCATCGATATTCCCATCACCAAACATGATGAGATTTTCCAATTGTTTCCCCCATTCGACGTATTGACACAACAATCGAGTGACTTCATGACGCGGTTATTCGCTTCCACAGGTAGAATTGTTTGAGTAAATAATCGTGGTTCACGAAATGTCGACAATTCGAGAGGCCCTTGGGGGTGTCAATTTTACGGGCAAATACGTTACCCAGTAGCGAAATGGTTAATGAATTAATACCACCCCTTTCTATTGGCACAGGCTAAAGGTAAATGTGGAAACTGGGGAAAATTAATTACAATGCCTGCGGAGTGATTGTATGATTGTTCAAAGTCAATATATATCCAATCCCCAGGTTTCAAAAACGACAAATCAATTTCAATAAAAATTCTAATCCACAGTTCCACTCTGTTCTAGACTGTTTCTCCATTTTATTTCAATTTTTTTTAATTCTCACCAATCAATAAGAAGAGTTGTGATGCGGTATTGATATGGATTTCATGTGGATACTGTGGACAAATGGCTGATGGGCACAATGGGGCCGTTACATTGCCTGTTATGAAATTAAAAGTGATGAGAAAAATAAATATATCGATGTATCCTGGGGCTTCACATCAGCCGGTCATGTGAAGTGTTTTCGGGGGAGGGGTGAACCCCCCTCTCGCCATATCCCTCTCACTGTTTGATTACAGAACACGTGTGTGTACCGAAAAATAGAGGAGAGTAAAAATAAAAAATGATAGAAAGAAAATAAATGAACGATTCGGAAGTTGATTCAATTCAATTTTTTAACAGGAAGAAGATCAATGTTGTTTGAATTCATTTAGTTTAGTGTAGAGAAGATGATGGAATTTAATTACTGTCATTATACTCTAAAAACTGGAATCACTGAAAAATTTCTTCAATTGTAGTCGATTTTAAACTGCTTTGGTTGATACTTTTGATGAGAGATCTCAATGTATTTGATATCATTAATTGAATTGAATGAGAAAACTGAAAATAATAATCTCTGACTATTGCATAATGCTGCAGAATACGTGTCAGTATTTCTTAACGTTGAGATTGAGACTGCATTGTTAGGAAAAAAATTGAAATTTTATGGAAAACTGATTAGTAATTTTGAGGAGAGTGCCACTGAATTCGATTCACATTCGACATTTCAAATTCTTGTAATACGAAATTGAGAATTTTCGACTTTTACTTGATTTCTCAATCAAAACATGAATTTTTACAAATTCAAGTATATATTTTACTGAATTTTTCCGATTTTCCTATCAGTTTTCATTGATAATTGAACTAAAATTTACAGCTTTCCTTGATTCTTCCATAAAATTGTGAACTTTCAATGTCGAAAATCCTCACAATTCCAATGGAACTATAATATCATACAAATTTCCAAGAAATGCACCAGAAATTGAAGCCAAAAATTCAGAATGGTTTGACTCGCGCGTCAAAAATGAAAAAAAAATTCATTTATTCATGAAATTCAACGATTCCCTGGAATAAATGCGAAATATTTCCTGCACTTTTCTCTCAGAGTACCGCGTCATAATAACATGATAATTAATTAACCAAAAATATGACGAATAATCAAGCCAATGCCCGTATGCATCAAGTGTTACGAAAACAAAGGGTCAAATCGTGATATTCACCGTGAGATGCTGTTGAGAATGAGAGGAGTAGAAGGGGTTGGGGTTGAATAGGTAGAACGTCGAGTGTTGGGTACATAATATTCGTGTCCAAAGGAGGGGTTTATATGCACTCACTGTCCCGTAGTCAGAGGCCAGTTGCATATGGTTTTGGGTTTGCCATGGCGGTATGCGTAAACGCGCGTTATACGCGGGACACACTTGATTACTAGCATCGGTGCAAGAGAGTGGACTGGGTCTGAGCCTACAGTAAACCAGTGTAACGCACTGTGGCCCTATACCAATCAATTAATTAGGGGAATCAAACACACTTGGAGTGAGCAAATTAACTGCGACTGCAGTGCCGTGTTGCGGCCTGCGGTCGCGGCGGTCGTAGCAGACTTCACAAGCACCCAAAATCGGATATGAAAGTGGGAGGAATACCAGATGGGGTGATGCTTGCCAAGCATTGGGTGATAATTTTTCTAATTACTCGGGGTAACATTATTTTCAAATGCAAAATATTGCATTGAGAGAAAACACGACTCAGCAACTCAACAACTTAACGACTTGATATATCAATAAATAATTTGATTGGGGAGCACTAATTTTTTTCCAGTGGAGATATTATTTGAAACGATGAGGAGAGTCTAAAAAGAGGAAATGAGTTTTTTTTTCTCTAAATTGATTGTTATTTTGAGAAAAATTTATTCCACCGAAACATTAAGTTTTAAGCTAAATAAGAACTACTAGAAAGAATTAGTTATTGTTAACGAATGGATCTTGAGTGCCATTTTCCTTAATTCTAGAATTATGCACTCGTTGAATTTTAGAAGTGCAAATCCCTAAGAATTGGGGGTAGATCTCTGAAAATTAAGGGTGAGCTCCGGAAAATCAAACCTTTTTTTTACTCGGTGATCAATAGACTCTCCCTCCGTCAATTTCCTCTTAGATTATTATATATATCCTAAGAAAGACCATAACTAATATGTTATTCCATGTAGGAATACTCGCACTGAGCATAATCATGAAAATTCTTGAATAAAGAGATGTTAATTCTCTCTTGACTTCTATACGGAGAAAATTTTTTTTAGAAAAATTCTAGTACTAGCACGGGAAAAGAGGCGCAAAGGGACGGCCAGGAAAAAATTCCAGTGCCGGCACTAGAAATTTTGTAGGGGAAAATGTGAATTTTTCTCCGTATTTCTGTGGAAATTTCACAGAAATCCTCAGAAATTTTACCTTAACGGCACTAGAATTTTTCACAGCCAGTGGATTATGATTTTTTCCAGTACTATTACTAGAATTTTTCTAGAAAATTTCTCTCCGTGTAGTATACTTAGCGCCAAAAATCTCATACTTGGTAATTATCAACGAACAAATTTCTGGACGTAAATGAGATGTACTCGAACACAATTTTAATAGTGCAATTTTAATTTTTATAGATCTGCCCAATTCTAAATTTTAATGACGAAAAAATCCTAACGTCAAGCGAATTAGTCACTAATTTCCAGTGACATAATCCTAAATGTAAGGCATTTTGTTTCTAAAGTTCAGTGATTTAATCCCTGAAAATTATAGGAATAGATGTCTGACAATTGAGGATCAATTGCTAAAAATTGCGGGCATTATCTCTCCAAACTAAAACTTTTTCTTCTCTATTAGTGTGTGAAAAATGATGGAAATGTGCATCATAATCAACATGCTCAATGATTTTTCTCTATTAAAAACACAATAAATGACCCTGATAATTAAAATTATATGAGACTCACCTAAATGCCCATTCTCATAGTAATCGCCATTGTCCAATCGATGTTTCTTGAGCGGATGGGGATGATGTCCAGCTGCTGCTGCCAAGTGGCTTGCCGCTAGACTCAGTCCCACCGATGCACGCTTTGGCGGTCTTCCTGGCCTGGAGCTGCACAGTGGTAGAGAGTTACTGTGGTCAGAGACAACCGTCATCGAGGTAACGTTTTACCCCGAGGATCTAACATTCTTGTTTATTTCTCTTCAACTTAAAAATTTGAGCTCTCGGGTTTTGTAAACAGAAAATGCATCGAGATGTCGGACGGTTTACAACTAAAAAATTTCTACACGGAGAAAAAAGTGCGACATGAATAGTCATTTTTTCTTCCGTTGGACCGGGAAACTTACTAAAAGTAAGGGCAATTTGCGCTGAAACTGTAAAAGTTATCCTGCATTCAATCAAAAAATGTCCCAGTGAACGTGAATGATTGCTCAATATTACGTATAATTATTCTGTAACGGAGAATGATTTTTTACCAAAGGCGTTCGGTAAAATTTCACTTCCATTCGTCCCCATGATCTTCACATGGGGGCAAGAAAAAAATACCCTACAGGTGTGGGAAATTTTACTGTACAGGAGGATAATTTTTGCTTTCATAGGTTTTTTTTTACCGAACGAATCGTGAAATATCCTCCACAAACAAGTATTTTTTCATTAAATTACATTTCGCTTCCGGATTACTTGTCATACAGTAAAATTAGCTACGATTTTCTAGGTTATTTTTTCAATCCAATCCAGGGGTTTTACCCAGGGGGTTCATTGAATATTTCCGCTAAATTTCACAGTTTTGTGATGACGGGATTAAATTTGTGAATTTAGAAGATTGGGAAAAAATAAAATTTCATGGAAAATTAACTAATGCACGGAGAGAAATATTCAATAAAAAATGACGTATCTTTTCCATAATTCCGGAGCGAAATGTGGTTGTAGGAAATTTTACCAAACTGTCACGGAATTTTTCCATAGCGTTCCGTAATTTTTGTCTGAATCTCCTGTGAAAAATGACCATCACTTAACGACCGTCACTTAAATGTTCTGAGTCGATTCCGTAATCGGTGAGCGAATTGTGAGTTCCGTAATTTTTACTGAACATTTCTCTTCGTGTGCACGGAGAAAAAAGTTGAAGAACAATAAACGAAAAATTTGAGTATTCGTGGAGCGAAATCCAAGTCTAGGCGAAGCGAACGGGGATTTTTTCGCCGCTTTCCACAGGTGTATTTTTTTTTACTGAACAAATCGTGAAATATTTTCCGAGACGAAGATAATTTGTTTATAACAAAACCCAACTACAAAGTATTTTAATGCAAAAATTACTTGACTTGGCTGAAGAAATCGTTTTCTTGTTGTGAACAAATTCCCCCTCGTCTTTCGGACAAGTATAAAATCTCTGAACAAAAGGTTTCTTTTCTCAGTGTGAGATATTCTCTTCATATCAATTTTCCAGTCATGAGCTTCTTGATACAAGTACCTAAAGACGTACTTTAAAAAAACTTTTTTCTCAATGTAATTTTTATCCAACTTTTCTCTCAGTGTAGTTACCCATCAGAAAAGTTCATTTAAATTCCAAAAATTCATCTTGAGAATTAATCAGCACCTGATTCCAGCGCCTCTCTCCTTCATTTTTCAAAACGTCAGGCGCCAGAGAGGCGCACGGCCTTTCTCAACCTCCAGTCCATGAGGAACCGCCCTGGATGTAGCACTCACAGTCCAAATTCTCAAACCTCCTTCCCCCCTCCACTGACCAACCACCCGCTCGAAATTTGAGCCAAATCATTAGCCCCTCCAACTCCCAAAGGAATAAAATAAAAATTGACGAAGAAAGAGAGAGGAAAAAGGTCCGAAAATCGCATGATTAATGTTTTATAAATTGTCTGAATAAATGCGAATGTGATTGCCAAGCACGTGGGACATGAGAGCCCCTGGGCCCTTGGGTAAGCGGTCCAATCTCATAGTAGTCAGGACAGATTTGTAAATCTAATTTTTCATGCTGTCTTCTCCTTGTGCCCTCGTGATGGCCTCCTACCCTCATCCACAACAGTCGTTTTTTTTCTTCTTCCTGAGTAATCTCCTCCCTACCACAACGTTTCTTTTACTTTATATACAGACACTTTATGATTTTCTCACTGAGAGGGCCCACGAGGATAGCATCCTCAATGCCGCGGGTTGATCTCTTAAACCGCTTAGCCTCGGGTTACACCGAAAACAAGAGCGCACTCAAAACGATTAACGTATAATATGCGCTTGTTTGGTGTTTAAGATTTTTATAGGAAAAAACTTTTATGGTTTTTTTTCCTGCGGTAGTGTTGGGAATTTCGGACTGATTTCCTGATGACTTTTCAGGGGTTCATTGAATATTTATGCTAAATTTCCCCGGTTTGTGATGATGGAATTAAATTTTGGGAATTTAGAGAAATGGGAAATTTCGTGGAAAATTGACTAGTACATTATTCAAAATTTTTGCGTGAATTTTCTGTGTCAAATCCAGGAAATTTTGATCATGTTTAATTTCCACTATAATTTCAGGATATCTCGTCACTGAAAAATCAAATATTCCATTGATTTTCTATTCGAATGATCTGAAAATGAATTCCGTCAAATTTTGTCTAAAACTTGAAATTTCAAAACCATTTTCCCCTAACGAACTCCATTTATCCAATAATTTTTATCCATCTTGAAATTGAATTAAATAAAATATTTCAGGGAAAATATACAGTGGAATTCCAAATTTTTTAGCGGTAGGAAGACGACAATGCCTCAACTTAGTCACATTTTCAATCAAAATGTCAATATTCGATATCAAATTTGGCAGAATTTTCAATCAATTCAAAATTCAAAAATATATTCGTCTGAATTATCCTGATTTCTCTTAATTTTCATGCCCTAATTGAACTAAAATTGATACATTCCCTTGCTTTCATCATGAAACTTTAAATTCTCACTTACGAACTTCTTTGAAATTTCATTGGAACTATAATGTGACATAAAATGTCCAAGAACCAATTATGTACCAAATATTTCAGAGAAAATTGCCAACGTTCCACGACAAATATGAATCAATTCGTTTTTTTTTCCTGTAAAAACCAGATTTTCGAGCGTGTGTTATCTTTTAATAATCTTCCATTGATCAACTAGAAAATAATTATTTGCAGTGATGCAACATGAAAAAAATCCCGAGTTATTACCGATTAAAAACCGTCCATTCAATTTCATTCAATGAGATCGATTCTCTTGGAATTTAGACCAGCGATTATCGCCGGGTTTGCGTAACGTGGGACACAATCACTCCGACCCATGTTCCAACCCAATACAATAAACAATTCACACATAAAAATTTGGAGTAAATAAATCCCCGCCCATTCGTTGCAACAAAACCCCCTTATTATGAGAATACAGATCCTTGTCTCGCGCTGGAAAATGCGATATATCACATTCTCCGATTTACGATTCATGTCTTTGTCGAACACGTATATTGTTTCATCGCCGTATGATTTTGTCACGGCACACGGTGCATTACACGGTCGCGATTGACATGAATGCCTTTATTTTCATCATCATAAAGTCACCGGAATAAATTCGCCGGGCTGAAACAATGGAATTGACTTTTCCTCTTTCATCCCAAAAATTGGAATATTTTTCAAATTCAGAGAGATAAAACTCCGAGAAATCAAGAAAACGGTTCCATCGGGCGCACGAACGCAAGATAATGACCCACCGCCTTGCGCTCTTTCAATGAATAATTCATGCACGGCTGCGAAATACATTGCACGGATCGTTAAGCCCTCGACCGTATGCGACTTTGATGCGCTCCGTGTGAGAATCGCAACAATATTTATTCCACTTGCCCCCTCCCCCATCGCCAAAAAAATTGAAAAAAAAACATTCTCTGTTCGTAGAAAATTGCAATTTTATGAACAGTTGACTAGTAATATTCAGGAGAGTGACATTGAATGCGATTTAAGGGAATAAATTCATAAAATTTCAGACTCCACTGATGATTTCCGTAATTTCGACAATTTCCACAATTTCGACCAATCAGAGCGCAGTATTCGGGGTCACGTGACACGTTTTGTGAACAGTGTTGGAATGAATAAAACTATTTTTAATCAGAGCGTTTTCAAAAAAAAATGTTTTTGGCTTTTTATGCCCCCCCTCCACCCGATTTTTTCATTTCAGAAGAGTTGAATAGCTTCAGGTGAATGGATATACTCGTACATATGGCTAGATCACGCTTTCCACGGAAGCGAGGGCGTAATTAAGACAATTAAGGTACTTGCTATAACTCACACTGGTGCTCATCTACTTGGGGGGCGATATCTGATCTACAATCTATACGCGTTCCACTGCGAAAACCCCCATGTGCACCTACAACTAGATGCCACCAACCTCGATTAAAGTGAATATTTTTCCCCCGATTTTTCATTTTACGGTTTTTTATCCCTCATGTTTTTTCCTGAGTTGGATACATTAAAAAAAAACGTTCAAGTTGGAGTGAGGATTGGCTGGATGCTGGGTTTTTTTTGCATTTTCTTTTCAACGCTGGCAGCTCGTTTATTACGATCCGATAAATCTGGGAATTAATAATTCATCGGGGAATTATAACGTAAGTAAGTAAATAATGAAAAATGGGGAGGTTTGTTCAACAGTTTTCTAGATTCATGTTATTCAGTTTTTATTTAAATGGGAGTTTTTAATTATATGAGAATTATTTCGAATTGAAGATCACTTGAATGAGGTAGACTAGCGAAGTTTGAATTAACATTCATAAATTGTCTATTCTTGAGTTAATTTGAGATGAAAAAATTGTCTTCATTGTAAAAATATCATAAAAATTACACGAAAAGAAGAGTATGGGAAATTATTATATGAGTTCATCGATTTTTTATGTAAAGTACAACCAATATTCTAATGCTGGCACTCGAGGATTTCTGAGTCTGCGCCTTCTGTCGCCGTTTCGTGGGATAATTATTCGACCCTCTTAGCATTTTTCATTCAATTAGATACCACTCCACGACCTTTCAAAGTATTTCGTTTAGTAAAATTACACTGTTAGAAAAAATTGAAATTTCATGGACAACCAGTACTTTTCAGGAAAGAGACAATGATTAAGATTT